TGCCTTGGAGTTGAATTTAAGCAAAGCCACACCCTTCACGTCTATAACTTCCATAGCTCTGGTTTGGTTTTATTTTATGAGTGGATTATCCTGTCTAGACTCCTGCTTTGACTTGGAAGCCAAAATAGAAGCAATAAAGCTAGTTGGCTGCTTAGCAGGTGACAAACCTTTTCTGAAGTCCTCTAATTTGTTAGGGCCCTTTTCTCTCCCGTGCTCCCTCTCCTGACTGTTTGACAATACCTCAGTAAGTTTTGTGAGTTGCAGATCCAGCTCTGCTAAATTTAGCATGCCAGATGCCTTCAATAAGCCTGAGCCCAGCTATCAGTTACACCAAGATCTGTTTCAGTCAGGCTCATCCCTCTGGGGAGAGACTTGCACTATTTAAAGTTGAATGAGGCTGAGATTCTTACAGCATTAAGCAACTTGGAATTCCCCCTTCTTCTCCCTGATGTTGGTTCTCTACTAGCGTTCAACACTTGCTATTCCCTGGGACTTAATTTGTGTTTCCTCTTGAACTCTAACTGGAAATTGGCTTTGTCTTGAGCTATTGTTCTGTATGGTAGTTCTCTCTTGGTGTATGTCGAGAGGCACAAGGCACCCTTTAGTGTAAGCAAACACTAATGTCTCATTTAGTCTGTGTTGCTTCCAATATGAATTTAAGACATTAAAGGAAAAGCAATATTCAAGTCATAGTCCGGTGACAGACTGTGTATAGAGGAATGCAGCTGCAGCGGGATTAATTGGATTGCATTTGGGCCTAGAAAAAGTGCAAGGTTTTTTCTACTGAGTGCTTGAAGGCCCTTACAGCACTGGCATGCAAGAGCAGGAGTGTTAATTCTGGTGTTCTGGGCATGCATCCAGTTCCAGTAACTGCTCTGTGTCACCTCACTGAAGTCCCGCTTCCATTGGGATTTTGTGGATCACTCTTCACTTCCGCTTTTAAATCACTGGGCAGTTTTGTGCCCTTTTAACCAACAGCAGCCTTGTGCATCAGAAACCCCTTCACTAGTGAAGTCTGTTTTTTTTCCTCTGCAACTGAGTCACATGTTGCAGATGTGAGAAATGCGAAGAGAGTCTTAGGATATGGCAGGAAAGTGCTTTTGATAGAGACTGGAAATAAACTTACTCACATTGTACAAGGTAGTTGCAACTATTTGGGATGCTGTAAGCAGCTTTGGTTATGATGCTTAAGGAAAAACTTTTATCTAAAGGAGTGGAATGAACAGCTAGTATGACAATAGTAGGTACTAAAAGCCAGTCTTAAAGGAGAACTGGAGCCTGGCTTTAATTACAAGAAGAAAAGTATTAGGAGGTTGTGGTAGCTCTCTGAAAAGACAGGTGGGATAAGGGTGTATCGGTACTTACCAACTACTGAAGCTAATGAGCCTTGATAGAGACAGCATATGGGTAGAACTTGAATGGAAATCAGAAGAAAGCGTAACTATGAGAATAATGGTAGCTTGGGTGGTAGCTTGGGAACAACCTTGCAATGGAAGGTTTTTATTTAAGTGGCTCCAGAGGGCTGGTATTGCATCTAGGAAAGGGTATAGATTTTTAGAGCACCATAGTTACTAAGAGGCCTGACAGGATGAGCCAAGAGTCCCTCATTGCTAAAAACAGTTACTTGGGATGGGGTGGCTGACTTGGTCCAAAAGCTTTGACACCTAAGATGAATACAGTTGACTGGCTGTTGCATGCTCTGTGGAGTGCTATTTGAGATGTAGGATGCCACTGATAAGCGTGTATCTGCTTAGGATCATTATTGGAATAACAGAATAAAATAATTGGTTAAGGAAGGGCATATTCCTTCTGGGTGCTTCAGGCTCTTTATACATCTTTATGTTATCTCATATGCTAGTTTTGAGCTTATGATTTAAGTTTTTTCTTTTCAACAGAAAAGGATGGGTGTTCCTGGTACATCCTGTACTTGGCTGGAACATACAGGACTGACTTAAACAGACCTTACCTGATACAGTAAACTTATGTTACTGATTTGGCTGAGAGGTAACTTGAAGCAGCAGCTCTACTTGTAAATAGCTATAAAAATACAAACAAAACCAACCCCAAAGCTATTTACATTACTCCAGTGAAAAGAAAGGAGTGATCATTTTGTGTCCTTTGTTACATGTCTTGGATCTTTTGAGGCTGGCATAGTTTGAAGTCCTTAGGTTCAAAGGGCATATTGTTTGGTCAATGATAAGGTGTAGCATAAGATCACCTAGATGCTGAATGATCCCTGTGCTCCTCTTGCAAAGTGCTTCCAGTTTAAACTGGGCTAGGCTGGCATTC